CCTGATGACATGTACCAAATATGGGTGAAATCGGTTCACAACCACGCCTGAAATCTCGATTATCACTTTATCATGCGAGTGTATAAAATGTTCGGTGACACCCGAACTTAGCACTTCCTTACTTGTTTTTTTTTGTTATTAGAATGTCTGCCAAGAATGAAATTTTTTAGTTTTTTTCCTTCTTCCAAGTTCTAAGTCAAGGTTTTAACTAAATGACGTATTTTTTCATGTTAGATGATCATGTAAGGAGTTATCCTACCCAATAGAAGTCCATAATTTTTTTGAGGAGTCACTGGAAATGGCGTCGCAATCGCCGATTTTAAAATACATTTTCGAAAAATTTCAGAATTTCTTTGTTAATAGTGCGTGTTTCTAACTGTGAAATGTTCTAATAAAATAGTTAATTTTTTATGTGAGAAAAAATTGTTGAAAAACTGCTTTTTTTATTCGAAGAAACCCATGTTACCCCTTAACTGTTTCGAAATATAGTATTTAACAATTCGCCTTGCAAAGTTTCTTTAAATAAGTATACCGGCATATTCTCACGAAAATTCAACGAAAAAAATTCCTACATGGCTTTTGACTGCCATTCAAATGTAAGGAGCATAAGATTCATATCTGTGYACGTATGTGCCTCTCAGTTATGTCTGCTGAGTGGGTTGGCAAGTTGTTGTTTCGCATTTGTTTAACACTAWGTGTTCGCTTATAGCATTTTGGTGTACATCTATACACACTTCGTTTAAAATACGACACTTATGCACATACACRCAGTTAAATAAACATACCCAAACAAACACCGAGACTCCCTGCTGTCATTTGCGGACACATATGAATAATAAAATGTTGGCTGTACGCGTCATAAGTAGTTGATTATGGCTAATGTGCTGTTAAAGTGTTACCGTTGTGCGTAAATAGTGGTAAATTCGACACAGCAACAATGTCTATGAGGAATTGTTAATGAGGCAGACAAATTGTTTTGATTCCTGCCGACAGACAGGCTGATATGTGAGATAAGACATGAAAGCCTAAGTATCATATTAKCGATTTAAGCAACTATATATTATTAAATGAGATTGAGACTGGCATGATATAAGCATAATTTTGGGTTAAACGTTTCATCGATAAAACGTTTATGAAATTGTCACATACTTGTGGCTTAGTGCGTGAAAGTATATTACGATATGAAGGTCTATAAGTACCGACAAATAACTGGTTTTATTATAACAAAACTTTATTGCGGTTATCACATAATAAATCAGTAGCAAGCAAGCGTGCCAAAGCACCCACTATAATCCGCTATATCAGCGTAATCACCTGGAAGACCGCAATTGTGGCTTTCACAGCTTTGATTACTTTCTGGCTCATCTACTTAAAGCGTCTCATAATTCAATTACTTTTTATGAGCTTTCATTGCWTCATTGTTATTGCTTATTATAGCTATGACTTTTATGTTTATTACTCGCACCTTTATTGCAATATATAGCAACGTGATTTCAAGATAAGTGATTTAAATTATAGTAGGAAAATGGTGATTTGTGATTTGATGTACTTGAGGGCTTGCTTTGTTGTGGGGGTGATTTGAGAAATATTATTTGCACATTAACTTCTTTCTGTGAGATTTTAAGTTTTAAGTGGTGAATGCTTTACAAAAGAGAGCTTTTGGTTCATTATTTGATGATGGTGAATATTCGTTTTGAAAATGTTTTGTGTAATAACATTTGCACATAAGTAGATTCTTTTACGCCACGATGCCAAAATCTTGCTTGTCGATTTTAACGCTAGTGTGAGCAAAGAAGTTATCTTTGGCACAACGGTCAGTAAATTCAGCTTTCATGATGTAACATTATCAAATGGCTGCTTGACTTCGACGCTGCTCGAAATATGGTTATGTATTAGATTTCAGCATAAGAAAATTCATCAAGCTAGCTAGCTGGCTGTCTCCGTATCGAAAATGCATGTCATTATGTACAGCTGCAAACGAAATCATTGCTTTTCGAAAATGGTGACGAATGCCATAAGGCAAATTTACGATCGATTACAACAAGTGCGGGACGGGATAGATACAGAGAGGGAAGTGAGACACATTTACAGACAAAAAATAAAGAGGACGAAATGCGTGTGTATAAAGAGATAACTTCTTCAGCGCTGAATGGCAGCGAAAGCATAACGCCAGGAGAAAGTGAACCCGATTCGCCCCCTTGCCCGACTGTGAATAAGTTCGAAAGCAATTACCCGTCTGAAGAACAATAAAGCGGCGGGGACCGATCGACTGTCGGAGGAAAGCTTGCCCGACGTTTGGAATTTATCCAAAAAAAGGAAAATCCCACAATATGTGAAAACCACCGTGGAGTAACCTTCGACAACATCGCATATAAGGTTTTTTTTGACCGTAATGTGTAGAAAATCATAGCCCACCGTCAACAAAGAGCTTGGACCTTATCAGTGCACTGCAGTGGGACTTTAGGCCACCAACCGGTCAGATATTCACCATGCGCCAAATCTTGTAAAAGACCCGGGATAACTGAATTTTGTATCCACGCATAACTAATAGCGCAGTGTAAAGTGGCGTTGAGCAATACCAAAATTTCCATCAGGATCGGGAAGAACCTCTTCTATCGAGCGACTTCTCTAATCTGCTGCTGGAGAAAATAATTCGAGCTGCTGGGCTTAATCGAGAAGGTACAATCTTCTAAAAGGGTGTAAAGCTGCTGGCGTATACCGATGATTTTGATATCTTTTGCATCAAATACGAGTATTAAATTAGACTATCTTCCTAAGCATCTACGCAAGTTTTCGAACAATTTTGAAATTTATACTGAGTAACGGGGAAAGCGGTTTCACTAAGTCCTCATAATGATGGAAGAAAGGTATCAAGGAAATCATGATAATAAATTAACACCGGTTTATAGAAAGATATTGTCGACTGGAAGCTCATAACAGGAGTTTTGCTGTAATAAAACAGAAATGTTTGCCTCTCGTCTATTTACTTTGTTGCATCCTTACTTTTCAAAACAAAACTAATATCTTTTAAATAAATTTATAAAAATAATCGAAAGCAAATTCTTCAAAATCAGTCATAATTTCATGAGTTGTAAACACAAAAGTATTCTACTTTACTCACCTTAAATGATCCCAAATCCTGTACAACACATGTCAGGAAGGCTTCACGCCCCACAGAGGCTGTTACATTTACAATTGGAAAACTGAATTTAGGATCGGCTGAAAGAATAACACAAATAATTTGAGAAAGAGTTGTATACCTTTGAAAATAAAAATTAAGAATTTTCAACATAAAATTGTATTATACTCTTGTATTTTATGTGTATAGGAAGAAATTTAGATGAGAAATATTTTAGGATCTTAATGGTAAATTAGATTAGTTRTAGACATCATAAATAAACACGTATTGGATCAATAACTACATATACATTCGGGTTTTCCAAGAGCTGGCGTAAGTAGATTTTTATGCTATATTCCAATATTCCTAAGATGTGTTGGAACGCTACTCTTTAGATATTTGTGTTACTACAAGTACATGCCAATTATTTTAAATGTAAAATAGAGTAATAATTTTTTCACTCAAATATGTATAATATATCGAACTTGGTAAATGGAAAAGTGTGGTAACAGTGGGTTAATTTTCTTTGCTTTAATATGAAGAAAACTTCAGCCGAAAAGCGGACGTCTCAAAGTGGCTTGTACGATTGAGATATTATGGTTTTGGAAAATGATGAACGTATTGGGCCGAAAAAAAATGTAAAAGATAGAAAACTGAAAGCTTTGCTCGTTGACGACTCTTGTCAAAYACAATCTTCTCTTAGAAAAAGTTATTTTTGCATCGAATCGTGACGAACCCATTACGACAACCTTAAACCCAAATCAAAAAGAAAATGGAATATCGCTGRCATCAAGGTAATGCTCTGCATTTGATGGGATCGGAGGAGCGTGCTGCATTGTGAATTTTTAAAACCGGCTGAACCGTCAATAGGGAACTCTAACAACAACAGCTCATCCAATTGAATCGAAAGATTGCCGAAAAATACCCGGAATTTTCGACTAGGCACGGCTATAAGTTTTGATGAAAGTTAAAATTCAGGTTGTAAGGTGGGTTGACAAGTATTTCACAGCGACTTTGAAGTTGTGATTCGCCACTTTTTACCCTAGATCTTGCTCCTTCTGACTTGCATTTGTGCCGGTCGATGAAGATCGCCCTCACAGGACTATGCTTCACTTCAAATCAGGGTATCRAAAATTTTTCGCTATGCGCTATCCTCTGCGCAGTTCTTTTAGGATGGAATCCAAAAATTTCCAGAAAGATGGAAAAATGTTTAGCTTCAAACGGACAGCATTTTACATAATAATTAGTTTTTCATCAATAAATAATTTAAATTAAATAAAATTTTGAAAACTAAAAACCCAAAATAAATGTAATTATGGATCTGAATAATATATTCATTAATTTTCCTTAATACTGAGTAGTAGAGAAAGGCTTTTCGTATTTTGTCAATAGATGTCGTTGCAGTCGTATATCTCCAGAGCCACTAATCACATTTTGTCATACTATATAGTGTTGAAAAGGTCAGATTTTAAGCTTGATTAATAAAAAGAAAAAAACAATAAAAAAAAAATTAGAACAATAATTAAATTCCGAATTAGCAAAAAATTGCAAAAAGTCGTCGACCAAAATGATACATATTTATTTATTTATTATTAAAAAAAAAAAAAAAAAAAAAATTAGATAAAAAAAAAAAAAAAAAAAAAAAAAAAAAAAA